AGTACCGGGAAAGTGGACCGACATCCAAGTCGGAGACCATCAATGGGCGGCCTGATTCACCTGCACGTACAGTTCGATCAAGAAAACTGCGCAAATGGCGAGGGACAATATATATCACAGACGAAGAACGTCTAGAAAGCTTGGATATTTTGGGCGATGCCCAGCAAGTGGTTGGAGGTTCCATCATTGATGAGCAAGAGTAGAGGAGCTTTCCGGTCTCGGACTCCCGTAAAGAAAAGGTACAAGCAACACCAAACGGGGAGATCGAAATGCATCTCTCGTGAGAGCCCATGTGTACATCTAGACCTTGTAGAAGCAGAAGGCAATATAGAAGCTCGCAGCTTCCTGCTCGTCTGGCGAAACCAGGAGGTCACCGCCGCCGCGCTCCCTCACACCCATCCTCTCACTCAATGGACCGAGCGTGGGGTCATCCTTCTCACTGTTCCAGACATCCATGAAGTTTTTCTGGTACTGCAGCTCGAGGTTGAAATCTTCGGCCAGAGCACGGAACGCCTCCCACGGCACGACGTACTCGGGAACCTCCTCCACAGCTTCGTCGAGGAAGAAGTTGTACTTCCAGCCGAACGCAGGACGGAAGATACCGTCTTCGGGGGTCTTGCCGGGAAATCGGACACGGTAGATGCTGTTGCCCCATTCGGCGGTCTCCTCAGCCTCACCCTCCTCCAGTTCACCGTCCTCGGCCTCGGCGGGTGGCTCGGGGTTCTCTTCCTTCAGCCTCTTCTTCTCCTTCATTCGTTCGGTGAATTTCCGTACATGCTCTCCCAGAACGTCCGAGTTGGGAATGCATCCAACGGAGACGGCCTCCCCTTCTTTAGCGCTCCGGCTACGTTGCGTAGCATCGTTCGAGCCTTCTCCTCACTTTCAAAGGCGTAGTGCATGCAGAACATCATGCTCACGACGTCGAAGCCGCGACGATTGATCGGGCCGGGTTCGAAACCGACCTGGGGAACGACGTCAATGTCCTCAATGGATTCGCCGTAGCAGTCTTTGACATGGAACTGGCAGTCAAAGATGCGGGGAGGGGGCCGCCTATGGCCACCCCTGCCACCACGTCCGCCTCCGCCACGACTGCTCATCT